CGGGGAGCCGCGGGGCTAAAATTAGCCAAGTGCGGAGAGTTTAGGGGAAACAACAATGAAAAAGTGCATCGAGGGCAGCCGGTTCCCGGTGTCCGGGGCGGTCCGGGAGCGCCTGGAACGGGATTTCTTCAGCGCGGACAGGAGCGCCCTGCCAGGGCCGGTGCCGCCGGCCGCTGCCGAGGGGAGACGGATCACACGGAGGCTGGAAAATCAGATCCCAGCCCCGCGCAGGATATCCATAGAAACGGAGATTAAAAGGATGAAATAACTTATTTTGTTCTAAACAATAATGTTGCTATAAATACGAACATTTTCCTTGTTCCCTTCCTGAAAAGCGCAGAACATTTTAGCAGGCTCATCTCCTAACATAATAAATCGGTGTACACACACAGCCTGCAGATACCTTGCCCCCCTCGAAAGCATTCCGTTTTTGGTGGGAAGTGGGCAAACCCAGGCTCTGTACCTGTCCCCTCTGGAATCAATAAACTGCACGGTATTTTTCCAAATACAGCTACTTTCGCTGTTTTGCACTTCATCTGTAAAAGGAAAATATCTCTTCCCCCCCCAAGTGAGCGATTGTAGATTTTTTCTCAAATTGTATTTGATCACCGAGTGAATTTAGTGCTCGCTCAAGTCCGTGGGCTGACTGCTTGGAAATGGCTCTGCCTGTCTTTGGAGAAGTTACGGCAGAGACAGAGGCAGAGCAATTGCCACAGATTATTTCCCAATCTGCTGCCGGCCTCCTTTGGAAGAGCACCATCATTTCAGCCTCCATTTCCACTTTTTGCTGAGGCTGCTGCTTACAAAGATACTAATTGCGATGGCGGGTTTTATGTTAATGGGTTCCACGTAATGATCAGCCCGACGACTACAGACCTTCAGACTGTTGGCTGGCTGCGCTGGGAATAAAACTAATGGCATTTGGTTATGAAAATGTCAGATCTCTACATGGTGATCTAAACTGGGGGCTCAATGAGACCGAAATCCAAGAGCCTCCACGCGACTGCTGTGGGGCTGGACCCAGGGATGCCCTTGGATAAGGGAACTCCTTCTCCCCCCAGCAGTGCTGTGCCTTGGGGGAGGGCAGCTCCTTGCTGGGATGATGCTGGAGAGGATTGGGGTGCCTGGCTGGGGTCCCCCCTACTCCGGGGAGAGGGTGTGGGGTGCTGGGAGCGACAGCCAGGGACGGAGCAGGGATGGAGCTGTGTGAGCCTCCGAATTCTGACTAACGCCGTAACCGGTTTGGTAGCTCTAAAATAGGATTTTAATCCTGGGAAGCATCATTTCACATTCCAGTGATCTAATCAAAATCCTTTCCTCTAATCTCTCCATGGTCCCCCCTTTCTAGATGAAAGAGGCTGGAGTTCCTGTCTTCACCCTTTCTCCGCTGCCTCCCTGTTCTACCAGTCTGTTCTGTGTCCAGGCAACTGCAAAAAGACATTTCAAAGGCTCCTGCCGTGCCATGTAGATGTTTTCTCTTGTTAGTTTGGACTGCAGGTGTGTAAGCCTCAAGGATGAAGTATCACGGTGCTGTTTTAGGTTCGGGGCACACAGTCATGGAACAATAAATCACATAGGAACACTCCGCTTTGAACGCGTGCACACAGAAAAGGGAAAAGAAAAAACCATCTGACCTGAATCATTTTCTGGAAACACATCTGGTTAAAATCCAAAGTTTTAAATTGAGTAATATTTTAAAATACATTTGGTAGGTATTAAGTTACAGTGTTATAGCTGGTAATATTTATGATACTAATGTGTTAAGCGGAGGTTTATATCTGTCAAGAAATATGAATGATTGTCATATGGGGTAACAAATGAATCCTGATATAAATAACATTTTATGATATTTTTAACATTATTGTAGTCTTTTTTTTTTCCACAGAAGTTACATTATTGCCAATTTGAAATAAAAGCTCTGTGGCTACATACCAAAGCTTTTAGCTATGTAATTTTGAATAAGTATGAAGCAGCACGGCTGATTTGGGGAATTACTGCGAAACCTTAACTCTGCCGGAAGACAAACGCTGAGCACCTATAATTCCTGTTGTCTTCCATGCAGGATCAAGTCCCTCGTTTGCCATTTTGTGTGGCAGCAAGCCCAAGGAAATCTTGCTTGACAGCTCTTTTTTCTCAAAGTGCTGCATTTCTTCGGGCTGGATTCTGTAAAGATCCTGCAGGCTACAGAGCTCCTTGGAGCAAGTGATAATGTACTTTGTGTTCCTGCTGAAATGTACCTGTGTACGATGGGAGAGGGAGCTTGGAAAACTGGGTGCACCCTGGCAAGAAGATGGTTGGAATAAAGTTTTCTTGTGTTATAATGTTTTGAGGAATCATTCTCATCTGTTTGTTTGAGGAAGGTTTTTCTAAAGTTAGATTTGATCTGTGTAAATGCTAACTTCTTTCAACAGGCACTAATAGAGTACTGGAAAAGGAAGCACACTGAATTTGAAGTTTAAATCTCAAATGATAGCAGCGACCAGCAATACATCCAAAATATTTGTAAGTATGTTGTACAGATTTCTTTTTAGGAATTGGGTGAAAATCACATTAAAATCTGTTACCTACTAATGTCCTAAGATCTCACTGATACAGCTCTTTAATGAACATATTTACACTTTGGGCCATCACAGAAAATTGTCCTTGTTATTCTTCATGTCATCATCTGGAATATTGAAGAAAATGGATCTTTATTCCAAAGGTCACAAACTGGTTGGGAGCAGTTCTTTAGCACAGCTGCTCCCTTGGGCATCAGTGTGCATTCATGAGGATATTTTGGACAATGAGTCCAGTACTGATCACTGGACTTGGGCTTCTCTTTGCCTTAATGAACCTGGGTGATTTTCTTGGCCAGGACTGAAAGATGAGGTGCTGCTTCTCCCAGCACTTGTGACTTTTCTGTCTCTTCTCCAAGGATTCTTGTGGTTTATTCCTTCACCTTTTCAAACTGACCCCCAAATTTTTATCAGTTCTCCTAAAAGAGTTCCTCCAGAGCCTTCTCTGTACCCATGTCTGCTCCTTGTCCGGGCCCTTCCCTCCTCACTTCATGGCTCTCATCTTTGCATCTTCTTCAGCTGAGTGTTGTCCCTGGCTGCCTGTGCCCGCTGGAAAGGAGCTCCTCATTCCAAAATCCCAGCCCTCTCCACTGTGGAAATGCCCTCCTGTTCACCTAAAACTGGATTTGAGATGTCCTTTTCTGCTCTGTGCCATTGCCCAGCGAGATTCCACAGGGATGGCAGGGAGCAGAGACATCCAAACAGATGATTTATATTCCTGGGAGATTAAGTCCAAATTAAGATCAAAACTCATATATGTCTTCCAAATCACAGATTTTTTTTTTCCCCAATTATTGTGAATTACTCTAATTCTGCTTGATTTATATCTCTGGTAGTAACCAGAGGTTTTGCAGCACATAAATTGCCTGAGGGTTTGGCCAGTGATGTGGACACTGTGACATGCAGAAGCTCAGGAAAGCCCCTGAGCAGAACATGGTTGGAAACAGAGAGAATAGCAGGGAGAAGGATCCCCCATGCCTGCACACTACAACCTGGGTGTCCAGCTGTGGTCACTCAGCTGGATGGACCCTTGTTTTCTCAACCAACATGCCAATTCCCACATTCTTTGGTAAACTGGTAGAGTTTTAGCAGAAATCATGTTGATGGCAGCACACATGATCCAAGCACAAAATCCTGTGATTTCTGTTATCCTGTGAGCACTGCACAGCCACAGATACACTCTGGCAGGTGGAGGAGAAGAAAACAATTCTCACAGAGGGCAGGGAAAACAGCCACAATTAAAAGCAAAGTAAATTTGCGTGGTGTGGTTACTTGCTGGTTAACTCTGAAGACATTTATGAGGATCCAGCATAACCCACAACAGATCTTCCTTGAGGATTTGTGGATTAACCCACACCAACACAAACATGGGATGGCAGTGCAGTGCTGTCTCTCCCATGTGCAGCTACTGAAGACCCCCAAAAGAGCTCCCACAACATTTCTCTCAAATAGCTGCTTTTCTCAACCTATGTTCCATCCAGATGCATGGTTGTGTTTTGGCCAACATCTGGAACAGCAGAAAGAATTAGAGGAGGAAAGGATCTCTTGGGTTATGCCTTCCCTGGAGCTGGAGTGAGTAAATTTGATACTGAATTTCTCTCAGGGTCTGGTTCACCCCAGCTTTAATTTGTCAGCACTGTTCTTGCCTTCTCATCCTATATCCCATGCACAGGATGGTACCAGAGCCAGGATTTTGTTGGATAGTTGGCACATTGAGCCCTTCTCTGGCCTCATGCTCCATGCAGCACTCTTCTCTCTGACTTAGGCTGGTCTTGATTTGGGAATTTACCTTTTCTGCCCTCTAAAGGATCAGCAGACAAGTTAGTAGGTTATGTTCCCAGGAAAAATTCCTACTTTTTTTTTTTCACTTGAAAACTTTCATGATTTTTACCCTTTTACTGGTTTCTCTTAGAGGTTTGGGTTTTGCACATCTTGCTATTCCTATCATGAGCCCTCACCCACTTCATGCA